CAATAGTCCCTTAACTAGTCTCCCTGTTTTCAACTTTGCCCCTTAAAGTATAGACTCGGCACATCTCCCAACAGCTCAAAACCCTCACCTGAGGGGTGGGGGTGGGGGAAGGCCATGGCTTAAAATAAGACTCTGATGACCTGCCCTAGTCCTCCTCCATATTGTCCCCTGATTTTATTTCCCTCCACTCTCCCACCTAATACCACTTGGTCCCAGCCCGAAGACCCCCTCAGGGGTCTAGCACTTGCTGTTTCCACTGCATAGAATGTACTTCCCTCTTTCCATCAGTTCTCTGCTCGGTTGTCACCATATTACAAAGGGCTTCCTTGACCCCCTGACTGTGTTAAATGAAATAACAGTCCCTACCCCTGCCTAACTCTGCTTATTTCCCCTTACCCTACTTTATATTTCTTCATATCACCTATGTTACTAATTGATTGGATTGTCTGTCTTCCCTTGATTTGAATGTTTCATAAAAGCATGAAGTTTCTTTTGTTCAGTGTCATATCTTTAGTGGTAAAGAATGTCAGACACATAGAAAGCATGTGATAAATATTAAAGATAGTGTGGGATAAGTATATACTATGAATTAATGTGTACAAAAATAGAAGCATTGCTAATTATTTTTTATAATGTGAAAGCTTGAGGGAGCCATTATAATTACCAATATAAATGCAAGAACATGAATGAATCAGGCAGTGTTTATTATATTTAGGCATTAGCAAATCAAAAGATAATGAAAGTAATAACGAAGTAATTATTATGAACTTTGTTTCTTCCAATCGTGAATAAACATCTTATTAGGCGCATTTGCACCCAGATTCCCCAACTCATTTCTGTGCTGGGCACCCTTCGGCAGGCCTTCTCTAAAGGAGTTGAGTTATGACTATTCTCTCACGTGGGAAGTCTCGCTGTAAGATTGCTGCAGGCTGGAAATAATGGTGATATTTACCACATATTTCTGGAAAGGCAGAAAGTCTCAGATTGCAGATTCTCAGCACTTTAGCTTGTAATTCATCAGTATGAAGGTGTGAGGAGAAATGCCATGCTGATAATTTAAGGTCTTTACTGCACTGTCAATATATTTAAATAAAGGTTCAGGAGGTAAATTATGACTATTTAAGGTTAAAATGTGGTATGCAGTTGTCAAAACCACTGCTGTAGAGGACCCTCAGCATGCTCACACTCATGCCACAAAAGATTTAATATTTCTTGTTAATACGTTTGAGATTCTCTGAATAGGTCTGTTTCCCTTCCTGTTATTTGTCCATTTTATTTCCTGGGAAGATTATTTATTGTATCTCAAAAATTGGAAGTAAATGATGAAAGTGCTGCATTTTTCAAAGATGTTATTGTCATAAATTCATAACCATTTGAGAATTTATTCTATCTGATGTGCTGTCTTCACACCCAAGGGTTTGTGGTTTCATTTCAGAGACAGGAGGCCAGCGGCCCATTATCAAGGCTGTTGGAATGCTGTTGCTTGTACCCTCACGTGGTGGGAGTTGAAACCAAACTTTTATATAGTTTTTATTTTATTTTTAAATATTTACATATATTTAATTTTAACTTTTATTGTTCCCATAGAATTTTTATCTAGAGGTTAATTTGTTCTTTGAAAAATGGTATGGCCTTATATGTAAACTTATAGTTTCATACAATGACCCAGCAATTTCACTCTTTGATACACGTCCAAGATACAAGCTATACTGCTGCCCATGTACACCAGGAGATGCATACAAGAATGATCCTCACAGTACTGTCCCCAGGAAAAATCTGAAAGCAGCCCAAATTCCCATTGACAGAGGAGTGGATAAACTGCTAAAGTCAGAATGGAATATTATGTAATGAATGAATATTATAATGTAAACTACAGCCTCTTGTAACAACGTGAATGAAACAGCAATAAATCATTTGCAGCAATATTTTTTTTATAAGTTAAAGACAAGTTAAAGACACCCCAAACTTAAATACACAATCACAATAAAAGCAGAAGAATGATAAGCAAAGAAATCAGGATGGTGTAAAATACAATTTAAAGAGAGAAAACACACCCATGTAAATATCCAGACTCACTTTGGATTAGTTACTGTAAAAAAAAGAAAAGATACAATAAAATTACATTTTCTCCTCATAGTTATCTTTATAATATACAGGTATGAGAAATGGATAGTCTAAAATTAGTTTATCATAACCTTCAAACTTAATTATTTTCCTGTCTTATTGCTAGTCAGATGAATCTTGACTCTACAGTCAAGATCATTGTGCAGCGGAAAATAATGCCATCAAAAGGAGCATCCACATGGATTATCGAAGTATTTGAATATGATTTATTTTATTTTTAAAGGTAATCTATATTAATGTGAACACATTCTAATATGAACAAATGTATTTTACCTTAAAAATTATATACTTTATTGGATCACATTGTGATAAGTAAAAAATAATAATTCTAATTATAAATAACATTCTCCAAAATAAGACCTGCCTTGGGGTGGTGAACACATAGTACAGGGTACAGATGATGTGTTGTAGAATTGTGCACCAGAAATCTGTATAATTTTGTCAACCAGTGTCATCCAAATAAATTAAAAGCAAAAATAAATTACAGTTTTAAAAAGTAAAAGAGAGAGAATTATTTTGGAGAACATTCTGACAAACATTGAAATCTACACATTTTTGGCATTACTATTTTGGGCAGCATCACTTTTTCTAATATTCATATAAAGAGGAGATGGGCACATATTAAAAGGCATTTCATTAAAACCTCACTGTGCTCATAAAACCAAATCAATGAAGGTAAAGTAAAAGGAGTTATTATTACTTATAGAGCATTTAGTATGTGTCAACCACTCTGTTTTAAGTACTTTACAACTGTAAATTAATTTAATTTCCATCACAACCTTATGAGATAGTTAATATTACCATTTACAAATAAGGAAACAAAATTTGGTAAAGTGTCTAAGGTCACACAGGTATAGTAGTTGCCCTGCATTTGTGGGGGATATGTTCCAGGACCCCTAGCGGATGCCTGAAACCGAAGATAGTACCAAATCCTATATATAACTACCTTTTTTTTCCTATACACACATACCTATGGTAAAGTTTAACTTATAAATTAAGCACACTAAGATACTAACAATAGCAATAATTAATAATAAAATAGAACAACCATAACAATACATTGTAATAAAATTCTTGTGAATGTGGTTTCTCTCTCTCCAGTAATACTTATATTTTTCAGTCCAAACTTACATCTGAATCTTTGTAATCATTCCTTGCTTGCAGGAAATGGCTTGGTGTCACTCGTTTCGGGGGATCACTCCCCTGCTAAAGTCCCTGGACAGACTCAGTGCTTTTTGGCGCAGCATGTCCATGGGAGCACGTTTGCTGTTTGTGTCTTCTACCCACAGATTTAATGCCTCTTCTATCTTAACTAAGCACTTATTATGCACTGTGGTCATAACCTTTTCAGGTTGAGGTGAAACAGGAAAACTAGCATTAATTCCTTTTTCCTCCTTTACAATTTCAGGGATAAAAAATTCATTCTTACCATAGATCTTTGCAACCTCAGCATAGGACTTTTCTGCTTTTCTTAAGTCAAGAACTTTCATCTTTTCACCGAAAGGAAGCACTTTGTTGTTCCTCTTTGACATATCCAAATTGCCAAACTGCATCAATACTCATGTGCTTTGGAGCCATTATTAAGAAAATAAGGATGACATGAACACAGCACTGTGATGCCAGGACAGTGGATCTGACAGCCAGGGGCGATTAAGCAACTAACTGGCAGGGCGCCCTGCAGCGTGGAGACACTGGACAGAGGGATGACTCGCGTCCTGGGTGGGGTGGAGCCGCACGGCCTGAGATTTCCTCACACTGCTCCGAACAGCATGCTGCTTAAAACTTAGGTATTGTTTATGTCTGGTATTTTCCGCCTAATATTTTGGAGCTGCAGCTGACCTCTGGTAACTAACATTGCAGAAAGTGAAAAGGCATGTAAGGCGGGACTTCTGCAGCAAGTGGCAGAACCAGGATCCTAAGCCAGGAAGTGATTCCTGAGCCTGGCTCTTACCTTGTGCTCTGCAGCCACTCAGTGGCACTTCGTGTGACTTTCTGTATTTTCACTTCTTGCAGTGACATCATTTTATGCCTATATTTTGTAACACTGACTAATCATCTTCTGTTGCATCTCATTTGCCTCGCTTTTCTGTTTCTTATTCACTTGCCTGGGTAACACTGCTGACCTATCTACAGTAAGCCAATGTGTACTAATTTTGACTAGATGGTTTTCATTCCCTTAGACATCTGTCTAAAAGATGGATTGTGATCCTTCCCATAGCAACTTTACTGTGTTTAAATACTGAAAAAACAAACAAATCTTGGAGAATTAAGGGGAAACTTTTCATAAGTCTGCCTTGAATTTTAGAACATTGTTAGATATTTGGGTTGTATACAAGGTTATTAGGCTTTAGTATGAGATGCATCTGTCAAGTTCTAAATTCTGATGTGTTAGAGATTATTTATAAAGCTATATAAAATTACAGTTTTCCTTCAGTTTTCTTTATACACAGATTCCTGATCACTGTTTAGTGTCACTCATGGTGACTCAGGAAGGTCTCTTATATCAAATTTGATTCAAAAAAGAAATTTTTGTTTTTAACAAACTTAAAGACAAAAATCAAATGGAAGATTCCACTATGGATAAAAACCCTATTGATATGTTGATTTTGGTCAAGATAACAAAAAAATTGAATCCATTGTATGCAGTTAATAAAATGTGATTTTCAGGATGTCTGAGTAAGTTACAAATTCTTTAACATTTAAAAAAAGTTAAATATTTAAGGAGCACAGAAAAGGCAACGTCGCCTCTTTTGATGGCCTCTCTCAGTCTTTAGGAATTTTTTCCTGAATAAAGTGTTAGAATTTTATATAACCATGTACTTTCGTTATTGTTACTCTGAAATATGCCTGAGAACATTTTTTACTTTTCTTTGCAGATGACAGAAACGATCAGGAGAGTAGCTTAAGAAACTTAATCAAAGAGCTGCCAGACACGCACTACTGCCTCCTCAAGTACCTATGCCAGTTCTTGACAAAGGTAGCGAAACACCATGTGCAGAATCGCATGAATGTTCATAATCTCGCCACTGTATTTGGGCCCAGTTGCTTTCAGTAAGTTATGGAATTTGCTTTTAATAATATCACATACTCCTTTTCTTTTTAGCACTGCCTGAAATTGCTGGGATGTAGACGCATATTCCAGTTGGAAAAGTCAACCAGCTTATGTTGAAGTTCCATGCTGTTGGGCATTTCGGTCTAGTTTTTTGTCCTAGTTTTGAAGAAAGCAAATACTTTCTTATGAAAAAATCATTTGTTATATTTCAAACAACATTATTTAAAATTCTGGAAATAAGTTTTACTTTAACCAGAAAGGGCATTAAAGAAATCTAATCTGAAACTTTGATCAGCAGAAAGGGAAGGAATATGATGTAGTGCATATTTTTAGTAGTGATAAAGTTTGGAATATTGCTAAATGGATGGAAAATTGCAAGCAGAATATGTCAGTGACAGAAAAAAATGTAACCTCAGCTACATTTATTTATTTTCTAGGAATAAACTAGATTAGAAATAAACTTGTTCTGTAGTAGGCACTGTATCACTAGCCACAGGAACTTTGGTAAAGCTTTAAATTTTATTTTCGCTGTTATAACCCTGTCGAAGCTCTTTAATGTATAAAACGTGATCTTAAAATGCAAGGACTTTGCTTTTAACTCTCCTATTAATCTTCGCTGATATCAAACACATCCCTTCTAGTTATAAGGAGAGAGAAAGAGTGCGTACTCACACTTTAAAAGCTCTCATCAATTCTCAGGAAGTTTGTTGTTTTTTTTTTTAATAGAGTATCCACTTATCCACTCCATTAATCTATAGACCCATCCAACTGCCCAGAACTAGTAATTTTACAGTCCTGAGAATGATTGTCTGGGTATAAACTCTGGTTTAGATCACAGTGGCTGCAGGGTTCCAGCACCTCTGTAGCCTACTAGGGGGAGAAGTTCTACCTTAGTGATGATCCCAGTTGTAACCTTAGGGACTGAAATTTTAAATAATGCCATTTTATAGGATATGTTAGGATCTGATGAGTAAATATTTTAAACACAGACTCCACTACTTTCTTCTCTTATTCAGGAGCTCTGTGGTAGTAAAAAACTCTATGTCTTTTTACTTCTATCTGCAGAGTAAGTTTTATTTTGATGACTTACATGTAAGGAATAAAGATAAGTAGCAACCTACACAGCAGTTTTGAAACCCTAGATTCTAGAAGAGGTTAAAGTGAATTTGTAAATAAAATGCTTACATGCACATGCATACCACATTGGTAACTTACTGTCTTGGGCTTGATCTGGAATTTCTAATCACCTGCCTCAATTAGTCAAAATATCAAATAAGTGATGAGTTTTATTATAGAATCTATTAATTATTATACCTTAAACTTTGTATTGTAAAATATACATGATAAAATTTGTCATTTTAACCATTTCTAAGTGTATTAAGTTCATGTTTAAGTTCAATGGTATTAAGTATATTCCTATTGTTGTGATCTATTCATTGGTGTGTACTTCTAAACTTTGGGATATAAAAGCCACTACCAGGTTCTTTTCTCATTGAAATAGACTATAATACTTATAAGAGAGAGTGTTTATTAAGCTCATACCAAGTACTGTATTGTCTCATTTATCTAATTGATTCTAAAGAGGCAGAAGTGATTCTTTTGTCCTTGAAGTTCCTCTAGCTAGGTCAAGGAAAAGTAGACACTTCATCTCTAGTGACCACAGTTAAGGCTGCATATGTTATAAAGATGATCAGTGGAAAGGTGCCATTCAAGGATAAATCTCACCATGATCCACTTAAAAGACAGAGAAAATACTTTTCTTAATAAATAAGGTGAATATATTGTACAGTCAACAGATGAGAAAGATTTATTTCTAAGAGATAAGGTAATATCCTCATGAAATAATAATTTTTGAAATAATATAAAATTTTAGATACAAAATATTATCTAAGAAATATATTATCATAAAAATGAAAAGAAATACACCAACATATGATTGGTGTTATGGATGCTGGGCTTCTTGGTAACTCTTAATTATGAGGTTTTCAACAGGTACATCTAGTTACAGGTTGATAAATTTAGATGATCTTGTAATATTATCATTGTGAAATATTCAAACTACATAGAGGTATGTAGAATGAAAATAAAGTATCCTCCATTAATCCCTCCCATTCCAACCTCTTTTCCCTAGAGATAAAATCAGTAGCAAGTAGGTCTGAATCCTTCCAGCCTTCTTTCTGAACACATCCATAAATCTATTTTTAAACATAAATTGGATTCTGGTGCATATATTGTGAAGCTTGTCTGTTTTTATGGTAGCACTAGAACTTTTAATATCAGCATATTTATATATCTCATTCTTTAAACGTATTGAATAGTGTAAATTTGTTCTAGTTTAACCATACCTGTACTAATGAGCACTGAGGTTGTTGTCGTTTTTAAAAAAGCTAAAACAGAGTTGCAGTGTATGGTGCCAGGTGGGTGCTAGATATATTGGGGGTGGGGGGAGACTTTGTAAAGCATAGGATTGTCTAACCACTCTGCTGTACACCTGAAACCAGTACAAAGTAATATTAAAAATAAACTGTAATTGAAAAAGAAAAACTTAACCACCAATAAAAAAAATTATTTAAGAAAAAAAGGAAACAGTTGCAGGGAAGATCTTGAGTGTGACTCTTTATATATATCTGCAACTATTTCTTTAGAATTGATATCCTAGAATTGGAATTGCTCAGCTGAGTGGCTTACACATTTTATAATATACTTTGGCAAAGTTATAATATTTTTATAGTATACTATAAAATATACACAGTAATAGGTATTTTTGTATGAAAAATACATCAAACTATAGATTGTAAGCTATATATGTTCTATATGATTTTTTTCCTAAGGAAATTCTTAATATCCCAGTTTCTAAAATAAGTAATAATCTTCCTAAAGAATATTATTATTCTTAAAGATTAGCAGGAATTGCTTTCCAAAAGTTTGGATATTTATTAAAGTGGGTGCTGGACTTAGTGGTTTGATTAGCCTGACATAAGAGATAATGAGTGTAGTCCTTGTTCTGCCACTGATTGTTTTGACCTTCTGCATTATTTACTTTGCTGTTACATTTTCGGCAAAACGGGACCTACAAAGTTTGCTTGAAGCTTAAGCAAGACCCTAAGAGGAACCTTGGTGCATAGTAGACAATGCTTGGTGTTGGAATTCTTGTACATTTAACTAAATACGTGTGTAATTGTATTAAGGGAAAGATCAGGTTTTATAGATTTGGCCTATCATATCACCTAACAAAGTGAGCTCCTTAGAAACATGAGGTGGGAGATACAACATTCTTCTTACCTCAGTTGTCTTAGTTTTCACTTTCTTACATATAGTGCAAGCTTCTTACAGTATTATATATGCTTTTTAATACTAAAAGAAAAAAATGTTTCTTGTCCAATAAAACTTCTGAATATAAACCAACTTCTCTAACTTACTACTGGTAACAGACACAAAATCTTATGACTTCCTCAAATTGTTTTGACACTACCCACCTCCCAGATTAATCTGCCACCAGGAAATGACCTTCACCAGCCTTAGGAATACTGGGTCCTTCTCCTTGGCAGCTGCCTTGCAGCTGAGTCAATCAGCCACCTGCCCAGAGCTTCTGGTTCCCCAGAGCTTTTGGACCCCACACTAGGATCTTAATTCCTGATGGGCTGCCAGAGGGGCTACATGTGCAACCTGGAAGTCTAGAACAGTTAAATCCCTTTGACAATGGGAAACAGGAGTCAGGAGAAAAGTAGATCCATCTCTTCTTTCTCCTGCCCGTGGAATACTATATCCCATGGCTTATCCTTGCAGCCCATCTGTTGAATTCCAGACTGCCACACAAGACATTTGGCAAGCAAAGTGCTGTGTGCCTGTCATTGGGTTCTTTGTGAAAGAGCTATACGCACTTTACACTGTTGTACATTGTTTCACATCTCTGCTTGCTTCCTTTCTTCACTCATGCTACCTTACATCCTACTCCCAAAATCATGCACCAACATCCTTGTTGTCTGCTCAGTCTTTGTTTTCTTGAGAATCTGCTGTGAGGCAATGTGCACCTGAGGACACAACAAGACTGTTTCAATACAGGAGGAAAACCTATTTCATAAAGATATGGTGAGGTATGTTGTACTTTAAGAATTTAAAGGATAATATTGGCTGTACATGATTTTTCTTTTCACATGCTGACCTTGGAATCTAATTTTCTCATAAACAGCAACTCCATTCTATCAAGTGATGGTCGTTGGCACCGATTCAACGCCAACAAGAAACCCCAATTTGAGGTGTGGTGAAGAAGGAAACTTTATTCAGTGCAAAACAGCTGACTTGTGTTACAGCTGTGAAAACGGCATGGCTGTGGAACAGCTCAGTTGTGATACAACACGATTTTGCACGGATATGGAACAGCTCTGGGATCAGGCGGCCCTGGGGCCAGGCCCCCCTCCGGCTAGACAGCTCTGCTCCACTCCATGCCAGCCTGCTTTGCACTGTGCTACTCTGCTCTGCTCCACGATGGTCAGCTTTGTTCCACTCCACTGCTCCACTCCTCATAGGTTTGCTTCACATTGCTCTGGTGCGATATCTTTGGTGTTTCAGCTCAGCCAGGCAGGCCCAGTCTTCCTTCTTCTGTGGAGAGGGAAAGTACGCTTCCCAAGCCAGAGGGAAGCCGGACAGAAGTCCCCACCACTGGTCCCTGACTGGCCCATCCTCATGCAAATGAGGGTGCCATGTCCTTGCAGTTTGGCCCAAAAGATTATAGGGATAAGAGTATTTACTTATGTGGTCTCTTTGTTTTGCAGTTTCTTTTTTTTTATTGTTCAAATACGTTTGTCTCCATTTTCCCACAACCACTTTCCCCTGTCCCACCCACCCTCAATCCTTCCCCACTTTGGTTTTGTCCATGGATCCTTAATACATCTTCCTCGATTTGACCTTCCCCTTTATTTCCCCATTACCCACCTGCCCCCTTCCCTCTTGTTACTGTCAGTTTGTTTTTTCTTTCAATGTTGCTGGTTATATTTTTCTT